TTAAGAGGTCTGCTCCACTAATGTCGGGTAAAAAAAATTCAATTTATCTTGAGACATCTTTTAGGAAGATGATTAAAAATCAAAAACTAATTTTTAATTTTTTAAAGTCATATTATTTCTTTTTTATTTTACATATTTATTTTTAAAAAATCCAAAACAAGATTAAACGGTCAACTTTTAACACGCTTTCTAAAATAACCCGTGATTCATTATTGACTTTATTCTAAAACAGACCCAAAAAAATTAGAACAACGGATGACCGATCAACAGTCAGCCAGAAAAATGGAATGCAAAGTGGATGATCACCTAACTTTGCAATAAACAAAAGACTAATGTTATATATATTAATTAATGTATTAATTAGTATATTAATTGATGATGTGACATAATTTAAGATATTTTTGATATTTATAATTTATATAATGAGTGAAGTCAATAATAATATCATAACTAGTGTTGGTACACTAATTAGTAGACTAATTGATGCATGTAACGCCACTCTAAATCTAAAAAAAAAAAAAAATCAACACAATTTCCAATTCCACCCAACAAATAGATTCAATAAGTGCATAAATGATGGCATTTTGAATGGTTTAGATTTCAGTGGAAGATTATTAATGGAAACACATATTCATGTTTGCTTGCCCACTTCATAAAATATACTTATCAATAATACTTCATACTCAAAATTTTATTCAAAAATATTAATATATTGTCTATATTTAAAAAAATTGGATTTGCGAATATTAAAACAAATAAAAAAATCATCTCAAATTTTCTTCTTTTTTTTTCCAATAAATTTAAAATTCAAACACAATTTCGAAAAAATAATTTGAAACTCATTTTTCATTTTGTTATCCATCTAATTAAGTAATTTATAAATCAACTGGGTGAACTCACTTAATTGCTTTTGTACACTACCCATTCCCTGTAGAAAAAATCCATTTGGTTTATAATCAAATTGAATTTTAAGTCCAAGAGGCCCAATAGACAAATAAACAATCAAATTCAACTTTTTTCGATCCATTGTCAAATATGTGTGGTCAACCCGGCCCAAATGGCCTAGGCCTATTATATTAAGGCCTCGTTTGAGAACAAATTATTTTAGTATTTTTTTTTTATTTTTTACAAAAAGATATACAGAAAAGTAAAGAGAGTGATATAAAAATTTATAGTGATTTTTTGACTAAAACTGAAGGTTGCCAAACAAAACCTGAGAAAAGAGGCCCAAAGAATCAAAGCATATCAAAAGCCTTAAATAAAATAAAAAAATAAAAAAAAGGGAAATTACAAAAAATATACATAATAAAGGTTTGACCTTTATTATAAAACAATTTTTAATTTTTAATTTTATCAATTTAAACCCTTAATTTTTTATTTGTTTTTAATCTAAATCAATTGTCTATTTCTTTTAAGTAAAACCGATAGAAAAAAAATAGTATTTTAATTGTTGAACTCAATGGAAAATATTTTTTTTAGATATTTTATGTATATTTACACTAAATTTAATAACTAAAACATCAAATTTTTTGTCAATTTTACTTAATAAAAATAACCAAATAGATTAAATTGAAAACAAATAAAAAATATATGATTTAAATTGACAAAATAAAAATTCAAAAATTTTATAATTATCGTAAAAAAGAAAAAAAAAATACAAATACCGAAATGACCGGCCCCTGTTTTGTTTGTTTGTTTATGGAAATTACGGAAATGACCTATCACAGAATTTCGTTTTGTTTGTTTACCTTTAAATTTAATTAATTTTTATGATTTACAGCTAATTGTAAGTATTTGAGTTTATTATAGAGAGTTGGGTTCAATGTGACTCTTTCTTAAAAAATTTTCTTATCATAAAAAAATCAAAAAAATCATATATTATTATGTGAGTGAATTTCTGATCATATTGCCAATTCAGTATTCAGCTGGAGAGCACTGGCAGAATAAATAGCGCCTGAATGACCTGCAACAGAAAAAGAAGATTCTGGCGGTAGTTCGTCCACCCGGGGACACTCCGACGATCAAGTCATTATCTCAAAGATAATCAATAGTGCTTAACTCACTATTCAGAATATAAATTACGTACCTTCGACCAATGGGGGTGCATCTCTTTTATAGCCAACTCAATCCTAGTCCCAATAGAAGCCTAGTTTTAATGGACTTTAGCTCAGTGCCTATCTTGGACTCTCTAATAGATAAAGATAAACTCTCTAAGAGCTTTATCCTTATCCAGGCTGAAGTCCTTCCTTACTCTAGGACTCTTGTCTCTTATCCGCTTATCCCGGATTCCGATATCTTCGGAGATAACCTCGGCCTAACCGAGATCACATCAATGTCGTGACCAGAACACGTGGCACCTCGGCTGACACGTCGGTGTCACCTTGGCCATGTGTTGGTACTTAGAAAATATATTCCCACAACTGCCCCCTAAGTTCTATTACCTTGGCATTCTAAGTTGATGAAACCTATATCAGAACTTCCAGTACGTCGGCTTAAAATTTCATTAGCCGAGATCATCATACAGGCTGGCATGTCTTTTTAAAGAACAAGAATTCCAAGAGCTCCTTCACGCGTATGAGCTGTCATGCATAATAACTCAACCGTTTTAGACACACGTCTTTCTTTTACTGGATCGTACTTGATATGCGCCTGTAAGTCGCCTTGCGCCTGCGTGCACCGTCTAACGCATACGTCGTTGTAGGCGCATTAATTGCCTTTTTGTCGCGTTTCGAGTTTTGACAAAACTTCTTTCTCCTTTCGTCTTTTCACTTTACATCGTTTTTGTTCAAACTCTCTCTCTCTCTCTTACTTTCTCTAATCCTCCATTGTTCCAAGCTCTCAAGCTCTGCTACCACCGCCGTTTCATCTCCTCCGGCAAGGCTCTTGCTAATCTTTTTCGCTGCCGCCGTTCATCTGACTTCGGCGATCTCAACACCGGCTTCCTCTCTTCGGTGAGTTACTGTTTCTTCTCGATTTAACTTCTTGTTTCAGTTTTTTGTTTTGTTTTTCTGAACTCTACTGCTCTGCTTCTGCAATCTTGTTTATTTCTTTGATATTTCAATTTGTATCTTGTTTTCCACCACATGTTTGTTTCATGATTCTGTTTTTGCTCCATTCGTTTCTTGAATACACACTGTTCACACACTTGTTGATTGTTGCCACTGTTCTTAGCCTGACACACCTGTGAAAACTTTTACCTTGTGTTTCTTGATGACCCATCACTATTCTTGACTCTGAATCGCATTCTTGTTTCTATTTGCCGTGTTTTTTCCAGATTCGTGTCTTCAATCTTCATCTTTATAGATATAAGTTTGGGATTTGTTTGTTGAACCCATAAATCTTAGGAAAAACTGAAACGATTCCCCACAGATTCTGTGTATTCTTAGGTTTTAGCCGAGGTCCCTAAAACCCTCCAAAACACTTCCATTTGAAATCCAGCTCCTCTAGTTAAGCCGATATCATGGGAATGTGGAAGCATATGGTAGACACCCCGACAAAATTAGAATACTTTAGGAGAGAGTTTTCCATCCCTGCCGACGTCCATCTGAGGTTGGCTGGGGAGGATGACTCCATTATGCCTACAACTGATTCTATGCCTTTCCCTATTGTGGCCTTTATTGAGTGTGGTCTTAGGCTCCTACTCAACATCTTTTTTCGAGAAGTCCTCCATTACTATAAGTTGAACCCGATGCAGCTTGCCATCAATTCCTACTGAGTCATCAATGGCATAATAGCCTTAGCCTGACAAGAGAATACTAGGGTTACCTTAGCCGAGATCCAATACTGTTATACTATGTGCGGCCTTTCACTGAAAGAGAAAGGTTATATCTATTACCTCAAGCCGAGGTCCACAGAGTATAAAATCGTGGCCAACCTTCCAGACTCCAACAAGGGAGCTGGGGATGATTAATTCATTACCTCGAGGAACTGGGAGTTCGCTCTAAACGAGGACCTCCACTTCTACCCTCTTCCTCGAACAGTTTTTATAGAGGGTAATGGTAAGAGCCCAGTGTTTATACTTACTTGTTTTTTAAAGTCTCCAATACTTTGATCTAATATCAATGCTATTCTTTTTTGCAGTTCTTCCTCAGACGCCAAAGGGCTTTCGCCAGTCTTTCTTCCCCAGCAAAGACTTGAGGAAGCTTTTGGATTTGCCAATTCACAAGTGCAGAGCCCCCCTGCTGCTCAATTTCATTCCTACCTACAAATCGGTTCTTTCCAACGTTCCAAAGAAGACGAAGAAGAAGAGTTTGTCTCCTCCTTCCGCCACAACTCCTCAGGCTGCCTCCACATCTCGGCCAGATCAAGGATCGACTTCTGACCCAGCAGAGTAGCCATCAACTTCGGCTCCATATCTGATCCCAATATCCCAGTGCCAACGCCGGCAACGAACTGTTTTTGCTGCCGAGATGGGCCACCAGAAAGCTGTTGCTAAAGATCTTTGGCCAACATTCTCTCTACTGTAGGCGCCCAACCTGCGCTATCTCAGCCAAAACCAAAGCAAAAAAGGATAAAGAAGGCTCAGCCAAAGGCCACAGTGACTCAGGTTAATACTGAGGACACTTTGCCAATTTCGAAATTGGCTGAGAGTGAAAAGAGCTCATCTACTGCCGAGAAGAGGCCAGCCGAGGCCCAACCATTCGAATCCACTCGGTCAAAGAGGCCGAGGTCCGAATCTGCAACAGCTTCAGGTCCATGAAGTCTGGTTCCCTTTGGGCCCCCAAAATTACACTGGAGGACAGGCCAGTCAAAGCTGGCGATAGTGCCGATGACGTTAATGTCGGCGTCGCTCTTAGTACCGCATTGTGCCTCTCTGGAGATCTCGACCGAAACGCCAAGATGAGCGAGTAAGAGAACTTTGCTCTGATGCTCCAGCGCTCTATTGAAGTAAGTCTTCATATTTGATGTCTTTCTTTTCTTCTTTATACTTAGAAAATTTTTCTATTAACTTTTGTTTTGTCTATTTTCTTTAGGCAATCCAGCACGCCCACTCCTTCTCAATGCAATCTTTTGAGACAAAGAAGGCGTTGGCTGACAAGACTAGGGAGGCTACTAGTCTGCAGAAGACCAACAGAAATTTGCAATCCAAAATGAAGACTTTAGCAGATCAGGCTGAGGCTGCTGTCAAAGCCAAAGACGTGGCCGAGGAAAAGGCAGAGGCTACTGATGCCATAAAGAAGGTTCTTGAGGCCCAGAGGAAAGAGGCCGAGGAAAAGACGACTGAGGCCCAAAAGGAACTCCAAGACACCTTGGCCACCAAAGATGCTGAGCTCAAGGCCGCCGATGAAAAGGGATACAATAAGGGGGTGGCCGATGTCACGGCAGATTATGAGAAACAGGTCAAGCAAGCATGCAACAAGGGGTTCACCCTTGGTTGGATGACTTTGCTGAAAAGGCTTGAAATCCCCGATGACTCCCTCCTCAGGAACACCGACGTCCTTCCTCTGCCATTCCCCTCAACTCCAAGCCAATCCGACGACGATTTTGAGCCTGAGGAGGAGGCTTTGGTGAGGAAATCAAAAGAAGCTGCTGGGACCAAGTCTCCTGCTCAAAATGAGCAAGCCCTGGACTTGACTCAAGATGAGGAGGGCGAGGAGGTTCCCATAGATGCCGCTCCTGAGAAGGCAACATCGGACGTGCCTATCGCCGACAAGAGCCTTGGTCAAGCCTTACAAGAAATAGACGCCGAGCTAGCAGCTAAAAAGGCGGCCGAGATGTCTTCTCAGCAGTCATCTGAACTCTAGGCCCAACCTCCTCAAGGCGCAGAAGAGTCTTAGTTTCGATGTTTTTTCTTTTGCTTCTGTACTTTGCACTTTGGTTTTTCTTTGAAACAATGTAAGCTCTTTACATGGCCGATGTGCCTTCTTTTGTATTCTCTGAACAATTACTCTTTTGGTAGGCCGAAGTGCCCTCTTTTGTACATAATTGCAACTTCTTTTCTTGAATGTTTGTATCTTTGTCTTTTTTTTACTGCTCTTGCATGATTTCATACTTAGAATTTTTTTGCATATCTCCAATACACACTTTATCTATGTAATTTTCTCGGGGAGAAACACTTCGGCTATACCCACCAACAGCTTACATCGGCAAGTACACAAGTACTCAGTTTAATACTACCTTGGTTTTAACTTGTAAATTTTTCACAAATTTCAACAAGTGTTGGACATAACCTTAGTTTAACTTCAACTTGTAAACTTTTCACAAGTTTCAACAAGTGTTAAACATGATCTCGGTTTAACTTCAACTTGTAAACTTTTCTCAAGTTTCAACAAGTGTTAAACATGATCTCGGTTTAACTTCAACTTGTAAACTTTTCACAAATTTCAACAAGTGTTAAACATGATCTCGGTTTAACTTCAACTTGTAAATTTTTCTCAAATTTCAATAAGTGTTAAACATGATTTCGGCCTAACTTCAACTTGTAAATTTTTCATAAATTTCAACAAGTGTTTGACATAATTTCTGTTTAACTTCAACTTGTAAATTTTTCTCAAATTTCAACAAGTGTTAAACTTGATTTCAGCCTAACTTCAACTTGTAAATTTTTCACAAATTTCAACAAGTGTTGGACATGATCTCGGCCTAACTTCAACTTGTAAATTTTTCACAAATTTCAACAAGTGTTAGACATAATCTTAGTTTAACTTTAACTTGTAAATTTTTCTCAAATTTCAACAAGTGTTAGAAACCAGTTTCCAACTTTCTGTCCCCTAATGTGAACTTAAGTTCGACTTGGGTTCTCATTATGCATGCATTCCAGAAACGTCATCAATTATCCTTATCAGTCACAAATGTGAAAAATCAAGCTTTATTTATTACTTCGGATAATAACGAAAACCAAGAAAATTTAATGATAAAAAAACTTAAGATTGCAAGTATTCCAGGGCCTTGGCAACACTTTGCCCTCATTATCTTTAAGCCGATATGCCCCATTGCCCAGTACTGAGATGATTCTATAGGGTCCCTCCCAATTTGAGCCAAGCTTGCCCTCTCAGGGATCCTTCTTATTGCCGACGACATTTCTCAAGACGAGGTCACCGATTTGAAACTCCCTTGGGTTGACCTTTTTATTATAAGCCCTAGTAAGCTGCTGCTGGTATGCCGCCAGCTGAATTGCAGCTCTCTCCCTTCTTTCTTCTAGTAGATCCAGGTCTCGGGCTAATAATACATCATTGGCCCTATTCTCTACTCCTTAGGTTCTAATCCCTGGGATGCCGACTTCTAGAGGAATGACTGCTTCTGTGCCATAAGCCATGGCAAATGGGGATTCCCCAGTTGATCTTCTCGGCATAGTCTGATATGCCCAAAGTACACTTGGCAGTTCATCCACCCACTTTCTTTTTGCTGCCTGCAGCCTCTTCTTTATTCCATCCAGGATAACTTTGTTGGATGCTTCTGCTTGTCCATTGTTTTGAGGAAAGCTTGGGGTTGAAAAGTAATTCTTGATTTTGAACTTTGCACAGAAGCTCTTGATTAGCTTACTGTCAAATTATGTTCCATTGTCTGTAACTATTGCTCTTGGGATCCCAAATCTTGTGATTATATTCTTCCATATGAAACTCTTTACATCCACATCTCGAATCTTGGCTAGGGGCTCAGCTTCTATCCACTTGGTAAAGTAATCTGTTGTTACCAGCAGGTACTTCCTTTGCCCAGTTACTTGGGGCAGTTGTCCGACAAGATCCATGCCCCATTGGGCAAACGGACAAGGACTGGATACTGGGTTTAGGTCTATTACTGGTTGGTGTATCAGAGGTGCAAACCTTTGACACTTTTCACACTTCTTGACATAGGCCTTTACGTCCTTCTACATGTAGGGCCACCAATACCCCTAGGTGATGGCCCTATAAGCTAGTGTTCTGTCCCCAGCGTGGCTTCCACAAATTCCTTCATGTATTTCATATAAAAAATCTTCAACTTGTGAAGGATGTGCACACCTCAAAAGGGATCCAGTGAAGGATCTTCTATAGAGATGTCCTTCCGCTGTCATACTGAATCTTGCCGACTTCAATCTAATCTTGTGTGCCTCTTTGTGATCATCTGGCAGTTTTTCTTCTTTCAGGAATGTTCCTATTGCATCCATCTAACTTAGTCCTATGTCCACACACATTGTTTCACGCTCTGTGGTCAGTGGTTCGATGTTCGAGCCCGACAAGTAGTTGACCATTATCGTCCTTGCTTTTTCAGGTCGTATTGCACTAGCCAAGTTGGCCAGTGCATCAGTGTGACTGTTATCATCTCGGCTAACCTGATGTAGTCGATAATTCTGAAACAAGGCCACCAACCTGTTGACCTCTTTTGCGTAGGCCGACATTCTCTCGTCTCTAGCTGTAAACTCTCCTGTCGTCTGGTTGACCATGAGTTGGGAGTCGCAGAAGACTATTACCTCATCTGCTTCTGATGTTACTGCCAGCTTCAATCCTGCAATCAATGCTTCATACTCTGCTTCATTGTTTGAAGCCTTGAACCCCAAATGAATGGACTGTTCCAATATCTGTCCATCTGAGATACCAGTACTACTCCTGCCCCCACTCCTTGTCGATTTGAACTCCCATCGACGAACAGTCGGAAGGATTCGCCGATGTAGATGCTGCAGGGTTTGAGTTTTTCTTCTTTCCTTTGTTCTGTCGCCTTCGGCTGGGCTCCTCCTTGCTTACTATGACATCGTTCACCTCGGTTCAGAGGAGCCCGATGTATGATGGATTCTGGTGTGAAGTCGGCTACGAAGTCGACCAAAACTTGGCCTTTGATTGCTGTTCTGGGTCTGAACTGCAGGTCATACTGGCCCAAGGCCACTGCCCATCTGGCTATTCTCCCTATCAGGTCTCTCTGCTGCAACAGGGACTTCAATGGATGTTCGGTGAGCACCACAATTTTATGGGCTTGAAAGTAATGGTTTGGCTTCTTTGAAGCCATTACTAAGGCTAGTGCCAACTTCTCTAGGGGTAAATACCTAGTCTTTGCATCAGCCAAGGTTTTGCTTACATAGTAAACAGCCCTTTGTTCCCCCTTTTCTTCCCGGATTACCACTATACTTACCACATGTTCTGAAACTGCCAAGTACAGGAACAACTCTTCTCCAGGTTCTAGATTTGAAAGAACTGGAGCTGTGATCAGATATTTCTTCAAATTGGCCAAGGCGGCTTCGCACTTCTCGGTCCATAAGAAGTCTGTGGCATTCTTCACTAAGTTGAAGAAAGGTTTACACTTGTCTGAGCTTCTGCTTATGAACCTATTCAGGGCTGCAGCCTTTCCAGTCAGCATTTGCACTTGTTTTGCCGTCGTTAGGCTCTTCAACTCTAGGATGGCCTTGATCTGATCTGGGCTGGCCTCAATGCCCCTTCTGGTCACCAAGTACCCTAAGAACTTACCGGATCTAACTTTAAATGCACACTTCGATGCATTGAGTAGGAGCCGATATGTTTTAAGGATATCAAAAACTGCTTTTAGGTCGGCCAGATGACCTTCAGGTTCCTTGGTCTTCACGACCATGTCGTCGATGTAAACTTTCACCGTTCGGCCAATCAGGTATCTGAACATCATGGTTACCAGTCTTTGGTAAGTTGCTCCTGCGTTTTTCAACCCAAAAGGCATCACTCTGTAGCAGTATAGCCCTTTTGGGGTGATGAACGCAGTCTTCTCCTCATCTGGGGGATACATGGCTATCTGATGGTACCCCCTTTAGGCATCTAGGAAGCTCATTCTTCCATGCCCTGAAGTGGCATCTACTAGTTGGTCAATCTTGGGTAAAAGAAAACTGTCTTTGAGACAGGCCTTGTTTAGGCTGGTGAAGTCCACGCTGACCCTCCATTTACCATTCTTTTTCTTTACCACCACTGTGTTCGATAGCCATGTCGGGTAATCTACCTCTCGAATGGCCCTGGCCTCCAGAAGTCTGCCTACTTCCTCTTCCACTGCCTCGACGTACATCAATGTCGGCCTTCTTGCTCGTTAGATTACAGGTTTGGCTGTCCTGTCGGCGTTCAGTTTATGACAAGTGACCTCGAGGTCAATGCTAGGCATTTTGTAAGGCGTCCAGGAAAACACCTCAATGTTTTCTCTTAGGAAAGCCTCCAACTCTTTTTCCTCTTCTTCGGCTAAGCCCGAGCCAAGAAAGAAGAAGTGTTCTTCATCCCCTCCTGGACGAGGATTTTCTTCATTACTTCTTCACTTTTCTCAGCTGGCTCCTTGCTGACGTCATCTAGGACTTCTACGTCTTCGTCTTCGATCTCTGTCCTCTCTGGTTCTCGTATGCTACAGGCAGATTTCATTGCTGCCATGGAGCAATTCTTTGCCTGCAGCTGATCTCCTCTGATTTCTTCTGTCACATGCTCTGTTGGGAACCGCAGTAGTTGATGTAATGTTGAGGGAACAGCCTTCATTGCGTGCAACCACGGTCTTCCCAGGATTGCATTATATAGGGAGGGTGTGTCGATTACGGTGAACTCTGTCTTTATCTTCCTAGTGCCTGCTTGCACCTCCAAGCTTGTTGTTTCTAGTGGCCACGTCGGTGTTCTATTAAACCCGACCATTGGGCCATTGGATTGCTCCATATCGTTTGGGTGAAGGCCAAGCTCCTTGTAACACCTAACGTACATGATGTCACAAGAGCTGCCTTGGTCAATTAAGATGCGCTTCACTTGGCACTCCCCAACTTGGAGGGATACTACCAAGGCATCGTTGTGCGGGTGCTGCACTATCTCAAGGTTGGCTAAAGTAAATGACACTACTGGTCCCTGGCACT